GGTACGAAGCGAGAGGTCCTTCCTCAAGGACTGCTCTCACCTGATAACACCCCCAACGCACATGCGTCTCACCGCCTTTGCTTCTAAAGAGCATTCTGGGAGTCCTTTTTATAAGTTGTTCTTTCTTCTGGTCACCCACAGTACATTCAGTACTCCTTACCAAGACCATCCTCCGAAGGCATCAACTCTTCGCTCTCCCTTATTCGCTGGCTGGGTTTCCCATGTGTCTGAGGGTGGGCACTGGGAGGGTCATGGCTTGGGTGGGTCACAGCTGCAACTTCAAAGGGAAGCCTTTGCTTTTGAACCCTCCTGAGAAGGTCTTCTGCCGCAGACTCGCCCAGCGGGTGCATAATGTGATTCCGTGACTTCCCTGGTGCGGACTGTGGATCCAAGAAAAATGAGATCCTGGACACCCCCCACCCCCACCCCAGCCCTTCTCCATGGCCTTGATACCGGCTCACGGGTGAACTGTGAAGGTTTGTGTTGTCTTGACATTGCGTGGTGCTCCGTCCTGGCCACTGCGGTCTTTCCTCGTCACCGGGGAGCGCTTGCCAGGCTCTCTCTTGCCACTTTCAGCAGGCAGGGTCACTTTGCCATCGGCACACTGCAGGTCGTACACCCAGATGCCAAGTTCTCCTTCATATAGTCCAGCTTCTGGGATTATGCGCTCAGCACACAGATGGAAGAAGGCTGAGGAGAGGCTCTAACGCTGATGCCCACAGTTCCTGATGTGAAAACCAGGCCGTAGTATCTTCTTCTTCTTCCGGGGCAGCTGCCTCTAGGTCTCTGCACAGGCTCCACAGGCGCACAAGGAAGTCTTCTGGAATCCACATCCTTGGCCATGTTAGCCATACCTTGTTATGGTCCTCACTGTCTACTGCCTTTGCGTGGCCAATAAAACACAGGAGCATGTCTCGCGGGCATTCCCTGCCTTGAGCCATGATCCATCCATCAGCAGTGATCTCTCCTGTCCCCCTTCCTCTTCTGAACCCAGCTTGGATTTCTGTTCCCTGTTGTGAGCGTTAGATAATTTTATGTCAACATAAAGACAGATAAAAATGTAGGCGTGGTACCCAACCTGTCAATCGGGGCACAGCCTGATGGTGCCTCCTGGTGGACATGGCCTTTTCAGAAGGAGGGTCCTGAGAGCCTTCCCCTCTCTCAGCTTCACCTTCCTGCGCATTGGTCACCCCCAGGGACGTGGAGGCCTGCCATATGTTCCCCGACCTTGGATCCACGTGACTTCGCACCCACCAGCCTGTGATCTTCCTGCACTCTGCATTGTTGCACATGGCTGCGTGAGTCTGAAGAGGGACTTGTGGACTTGAGTTGAACTGGGCTGGGCTGTTTTCGTGATCTGTAATTGCTCCTTGATAAGAAGCTCTCTCTATCCATATGTGAGCGTCCCTGGAGTTGTTTCTCTAGCCAACCCGGCCTAACACACCTGTTGATGTGCTGCCACGACTGTTTTAAAAATGATCTTCAACAGCATTTTCTTTGCACGTGACATGTAGATATTGCTCGAGAATGTCCACCTTCTGTTGGGTCACCTTTCTTCGGACGAGGGAGAAAGAGGAGGCTGTCGACCCCCATAAAGAGTTGTAGTCTCAGAAACGCACAGGGGCGGTTCGACCCTGTCTAGTAGGGTCGCTCTGAGTTAGGGAGTCAAGCTCCCTGGAATGGTCTCATGTCGACGGGTCCGGGTCCTCGTTCAACATCCGCCGGCACTACAGCTCCTTCAACATTGCAACTTAAGCCTCTGGGTCTTTCAGCCTGAGACACACCCAGCACGTTCTTCCCTTCCGTTCTCTAAAGCCGGGCCTTTGCACGTTTCATTACAATGATTTACCCTCTCTTTGAGATCTTCCGCTCAGCTCATTGACACCACACTCTCTTCCACTTGCTTTCACTACGTTACACTCCAGAGAAAGTCCATTGTCTGGGTGTGCCCTTAATGGAAACAAGGCTACAAGAGCCCCATGATCGACCCAGGTGGTTTCTCTGAACCAGCCTTGCGAGGTTTTTCTGAACGGCAAGAGTGTGCCTGTGCCGCTCGCGGTACCCTTTCCTATTCTGTGGCCCCATTGGCAACTGGTGGGTAGAGTCGAGGGGCAGCAGGAAAGCCAGGCCCTCAGCAAGACGGATTGGCACGGTGTCAGCAACAAGGGACCCAAACATAAGAATAACGGTGAGGGTGGCACAAGGCGGGACAGCATTTCATCCTGCCGTCCGTCCGCAGGGTCACGAGCAGTCGGAACAGATGCAAGGGACCGAACAACAATAGCACGAGCTGCAACCGTGCTGAGTTGGTCTCCTGCTGAGGGGCAGAAACCCCCCCCCCCCAGCCATCGTGCCATCATGCTGATGGTCCCCTCTTCTGGAAGGTTCCCCTCTTGTATGTGCCGGTTTCCTGCCGCAGAAACGGCTCTGTGAAATAACGAAAAGGGAGTCCATCCTCTATTTGGCTTCTCTTCCTTTTTCACAGAAACGTGGTAAAGGTTGACGGTGGCAGATGTTCCCACAGGCTGTATGTCTGCTGATTTCTTTCTGTCGTTCAGCATTGTAACATTGTATGGTCGGAAGAAACAATTCCATTCATAAAGCCATCTGAACCCTGGATGAGCTGATGAAACACAAGGAAAGGAGATGGAGGGGAGAAGCCTAAGACCTCACACACCTATGAGTGATGCTGTCGTCAGGTTCCAGCAAGTCCGTTCGAACCAGAAACACAGCCCTGTGCCAGCCTCCTCATTGCTGTGACAAGCCGGTTGGTTTCTTGACTGTGGCTCCCATGCATCTCCGTGGTGGGCCATCCCGGACAACCTCAAACGCTTCCCCATGGTGCTTGCGGGAGCTACCTCTAGGATCCAGTCTCTCAGAGCTCAGGTGCATTGTCATGACCCATGCAGGTTCGCTGGCTCGTTTTCAGGAGCAGATCATCAGCCCCCACCCAACCCTCCCACCCCTGGTCACAGTCTGGGGGCTTGCTGAAACCCCTAGTCTGGTGAGCCTGCTGGTACTGGAAACGCTGAGAGCATCGCTTCCAGCTGCACAGCCACACACCAGCCACCGCGGAAGGACGCTGGAAAAAATGGACAGTGGAAGCAACTGCTAACGACTACAAAACGCACCTAGGCAATGGCAGACCCATCCAGCTGGGGCCCGCGGACATCGCTCGGCATCTTCTGAATGAGTCGGAGGGCTGTGGGTGGGGAGATGGCTCCCTGCGTCTTGCTGACCGAGCCCAGACACCACCGAGGTGTGCACCGCAGTCCCCAGCACCTCCCTTGCTCAAAGCCGGCCCTCCTTCCCGTTCCTGAAGCCTGGTAATGGTGCCGTGCAAAGCACCAAAGTTTCAGGCTTCCTCGCTTCCCTTGCCCGCATTTAACAGTGAAAGTGTCTGGGCATTGAAATGATGCCGCGAGGCGCGCGCAAAGGTCTAAGGTGCGAGGCAGGGAGCAGGTCCGCAGCCTCTGGGGAGGGCGGTAATCTCGCCGTCCTCGCAGCTTCTCTGCACTCGATTTGCAGGCCTGTTTCCAGAGATACCCTTCTGAGTCTAGCTCAGCTTCTCCGCACTCGACTTGCAGGCCTGTTTCCAGAGACTCTCAGGCAAGAGAAGCTTGCGGGATGGTCTCACTCCCTGCTACCCACCGTGCTTTGTAGGAGCGCCTCTTCCAGCGCAGGAGGGTTGTGTGTGAAGGAGCTTTGGTGGCACAGTGATTGAGCGCTCGACCACAAACCAGAAGATTGGGGGTTTTTTTTTGAACCCACCGAAAGAAAGATGTGGGTGTCTGCTTCCTGAACATTCACAGCCAAGGAAACCAACCGGGGTTCCCACCTACGGGGTCACGTGAGTCGGAATCGAGGGTTGTGTTGAGTGTGAAAGTGAGAACGGGAAACTAGGTGCGCTGCTTGAATCAGACATTCTATACAAGCCTGACCTTGACCGTGCAGGCGTTACCTGCTGTCATCCCCAGGGTCAGGTGATTGGATTGTTGTGATCCCTTGACTGGTTGTCAGAAATCGATCACCAGGCCTTCCTTCGGAGTTCCTTTCAGTCTGGAAGCTCCCTCAACCCCACTGGCATACTAGCAACACAGAAGTCTCCCTGATAGACTGCAGTTGGCTGTACACGTAGTACGCTGGCTGGAATCGAACCCAGGACGCCCAAGCCTCCTACTCCCACCCCACGTGTGTGCACTTAAACCCTGGTGCATCCCTAAGAGGATAGAGAGAAAGACACTGGCTCAAAATGATAAGCATAAATTAGGAGCAGTGATGACACCAACAAGCAATTGACATGTATCAGGAGGGTGACCTCCTGTCTCGGATTGCCTGGAGTACCCCAGTGTCAGCATAAAAAAGCCCTGAGTCCCAGGAAACCCCTCAGTCCGGGCAACTGGGAGAGCTGGTTACTGCACACCAGTAAGAGGCATGAATCCATCCAAGGAAGAAGCGAGAGACCTGAGATGGCCAGGAGAGATCCCACTTTAACCAGGGTCCAGAACTCTCTGTGACCGGCACTCCTGCATGGCCACTGCTCTCTACACTGCCCACCGATCCTGCATTACTACCCCTTCCTGTGTGCTCTACTATTTCCTGTGTGATGTCCTATGTGATCTGCCACTTCCTGTGTGACCTGCCACTTCCTGCTTCCTGCACTACCACCACTCCCTGTGTGGTCTACCAGAAGTGGTCTACCTCTTCCTGGGTGGCCACCATTTCCCACACAGCCACATTTTCTGTGTGGCTACTACTTCCTATGCAGTCTACCACTTCCTGTTGCAGACATGGTTTCCTGTGTGGTCTACAACTTCCTACATGGCCCTCCATTCCTGCACACTTCTTGCGTGACCTACCTCTTCTGGCATTGCTATCACTTCTTGTGTGGTCTACTGCTTCCTGAATAGCCACCCTTTCTGCATGGCCACCACTTCCGGTGTAGCCACTACTTTCTGAGTGGTATGACACTTTCTGCATGCTCTAAAACTTCCTGTGTGACCACCACTTCCTGTGTGATGTCCCTTTGTTTCTACATGCCCCCCACTGTGTGGCCTACCACTTCTGTATGGACGACCACTTCTTGCATGGGCACTATTTCTGCATGGCCACTACTTCCTGTGCAGCCACTCCTTTCTGGGTGGTCTACCGCCTCCTGCGTGGTGTCCCACATTCTGCATGGCCACCACTTCCTGGGTGGTCTTTACAGGAAGACCCAAAAGGGTGGCCTCTTGCACCTCAGGGTTCCTGAGTGCCCTGCCCCCCCAGTTTTCCTGGGACCTGAGGTTGAGCAGGTGGGGGAAGGGTGCTTCAGCAAGCAGGAGGGACACCCTTTCCCCTTACTCTTTATCTCCTTCTTGGGGCCTTGGGTTAGTGGGGGTCCAGAAGTCCCAGGTCCAGCCCCCGCCCTGATCTGTGACTCCCAGGAGGCCTGGGCGGGAAGTGGCAGAAGAAAGGAGTTGGAACCCAGAGAAGACTCACACAGGGGGTCAGCACTCACCCCAGAGACCCTGAGGGGCGTAGGGGAGACCAGAGAACATGCCTCCTAGAACAGCCGTCTGGGCAAACTCTTGGAGTTCAGTGTATCACCCTCCAGAAATGAGGAGGGGTCCAACGTGCTCCTCAAATTCAGTATGGAAAGAGCTGGCCGGACTCCGGCCATAGCTCCAGGGTCAGAGCAGAACTGTACTTCCAAGGGTCTCAAGGGCTGATTTCCCAACCTTGAAGTGGGTTGCCAGGCCTTTCTTCCGAGGGTCCTTGATGTACACTTGAGCCATCTACCTTCGGCTTAACCACTCAGCCTTCTAACCGCTTACACAACTGGGCACTGCCCCCAGGGTCATGCCTCCCTGGAAAGCTTGAAGCCCAAGCCAGAGCCTTGCTGTGCAGATGGAGGGCACAGTCAGCATGCATGCGTGCCCGGGGGGAGAGAGGGACCGGCAGTTATCCCTCCCTATCTTGCCCTCAGAGAGCCTATCCATCACACTAAAAGGTAGCTTTAAACACACTCCTATTTACTGTTTTACAACCTGCAAAAAGCCCAATAATGCCACTCGCCCCAGAGGAAGTGGTTTTGTCTCTCCACCCTGACCCACACCCTAGATGCCGTCCTGGGTGCCCACCGGCCGTAGCTTCCACCAGGCAGCCAAGACAAAGAGCCAAGCCCCCTGGGCGGGAGCCGCCTGCCTTTGGTATCAAAAGCACAAGCTGCTACTGTCCTCTCCTGAAGGAGATGTGGACAGTAATGTATTCAACAAAAAAGCAAGCACGGTGAAAATCTACGTCCCCATCATTGAAAGAGAGGGGGGGTGTGGATGGGGGGAAGAAAAGAACGGGAGAAGATAGGAGAGGCTCTAAGGAGACAGGAAAATGCCAAGGTGAGGGTCAGGCTGAAAGGAAAACCCCACCACAAGTCAATAGGACCTCGGCTATCAAATTAAAACACAGAGGTCGAAAGAAGAAAGTAGAAAAAAAAAATGCCAATCATAGAATTTACCAAAGGAATTTTTTTTCAAACAGATTCTCTTCCTCTCTGGACACAACATGCAGCATCATGTGTCTGCATGAACACGCATGACGTGGAGGGCGGGGCCTTTTGAATGTGTTGATCCCGTCGTGCCCTCAGGCTCAGAACAACAAAAAGGTACCCCCTAAGCCTCATCCTCGCAAAGAGGCCCCGCCAGTCAGGCCACCAGGCTGGCTCTCCCCAGATGGTGACAGTGAGTCTCCACAAGTGGCCCGTGGCCACACCTGTAGTTGACCTCTCTGGTGGCAAGGGGGCATGTGTGGGAATTTGGGCGTATGTGAGAGAGTTCTGTTAAGGGCACATATGCATTCAACCACAGAAGAGGTCCCGCCGCCCGCCACCTGATACCCTTAAGCATGCTCTGTCCTGCCAACTTTGACACCCATGGAATCTTCCAGAAGCCAGCTGACCCGGCAAGATGTTCTCTGGGTCCAGGTGGATGCATGTCTGAGACCTGAGGCACAAGAGTTTGGAGGGCAGTGAGAGCCTATTTGGGTACTTCTGCTCCTGGGTGTCCCCTGGAAGGGTGGCACTTTGCCCCAGAAAGGACTCTGGTGAAGGAGCTGAGCTGGCAAGGCTGCCCAGATGGGATAAACTGGAAGGGAAGGGCTCTGCACCCAGCGTTCCAGAACCGTTCCCTTTTAACCACGGGGGTCCTTAAAACTGGGCTGTGTCCTTCCGCAGGCCTGGGCTGGGCCCCAAGAATCGGGCAGCTAACAAGTCCCTGGGAGCTGAGGCTGCAGGCCAGGGAACCCCTCTTTGAGAACCACGGATCCCCAGCAGCCCCTGCACCCAGTGACCACCACGGGGTGGGGGTGGGGGGTGGGGGGGGCAGGCAGAGTTGGAGATGGCAAGAACCGGGATGAGGTGCCCGGGGATTTAGGATGACTAGGTTGTCGGCAACCACTCTGTAAAACCTCTCCCACGGATATCCGGGTCTTGGACCGAGGAGGCCAGGGACCATCTGTGTGCGCCCGGAGCCCGTGGGGGTGGGGACCCAGCCTCGACCTGGGAAGCCAGACTAGTCATCTGGTGGGACCCCGCGGCGGCGGCGGCGGGGAGCAGGGCTTAGGCTGCAGCTTCTGCGCGTTGGTCCGCTTGGCAGAGCAGCGCTGGGGGAGGTGGGCGACCAGCCGAGAGGAGTAAATTATTCACGGAGCCCCCACCCTGCCAACCTCCTCGCACAGAATCGCGCCTTCGACTTAATAATACTTATCAGCACACTTAGACACCCCCACACCCCCCACTCCATTTTGAAAGCAGGGCAGAGGACAGAGACGCCCTCCTCGTTTCTAATTAAGCCAGGACGCCCGGCCCTTCCCTGGGCCTCCCAGGCAGCGCCTGCCCCGAGGGGGAGGGGAGCGGCCGCTCGCCCTTGGACTTGGCTTTCGTCAGCGGCTGCAAAATCCGATGCCCAAAATAGCTCTGCCGTTGCCCTGGCAACCGGCGTCTCCCCCCTCCCCCACATTCCTTGGCACGTTGCTACCTCTTTCTAGCGGCCCAGTTCATAAACACGCCGCTAATGAAGCACGCTCGCGCGGTGACTTAGGGCCCAGCTGCGCCCGGGGAGATAGCAGCGCCAGGAAATAGGATTTCATGCGGCGCGGACCCTGGAGCGACTGGGCGCCCTTCGGGGCGACGCTAGCTCTGGGAGAGGGCCCAGATGCTGACCCCGGCTGCTCGGGCGTGCCCCTCGCCCAGCCCTACGGACAGGCGCGAGGAGAATGGCCATGGGTCTCATTAGGGACAGAGCCACCTTGCCAGGGAAGATTCCAGCGCCTCTCTCATCCCAAGGCAGGGGGCCATAGGGTTCATGAATTCAACCCCAGCCTTTCTGAAGATCAGCCAGGCCTCGGGCAGTGGCCATGGGACAGGCAGCCACCTCCCTGAGTTAGAACGCAGTGGGGGTCTCTCCTGAGCCAGGCCAGGAGAGAGGCCACTCAGAGGAGCCCGGAGAGTGAGTGACCTCTATCCTGGAGCCTTCCTGAAGGCCCTGGCGAAGCTATCCTCTGGCCCAGGCTTTTGTTTACTCTGAAAAGGGGAGGACTAGGCTGAGCCCGAGGAATGCCTGTGGCCAAAGGTCAGCAGTTCAACTCCACCAGCCCCTTTTCAGAAGCAAGGTGAGGCTGTCTGCTCCTGTAAAGAGTTTCTGCCTCACGGACTCCCAGGGGCAGGTCTCTGCCCTTCAGGGCCACTGTGAATCAGAACTGGCTCAGTGACAGGGAGCTTGGTGTGGGCTGAGCCCAGGTGGGCCAGAGGAAGTGGGAGAGCCCGGCCCTGGGGCCCTACAGGCTCCAGGACAAGCATCAGGAGGCAGCGGTGGCCAGGTCAAGGGTGAGGCAGTCCCGTCATCAATGCGAACATTACCTGGAGGGAAACTGCTGAAAATGACATTGCCTCTCTACCCCCGCCCCCTGGCATGCCTTCACTTTGGGTCAGACACCTGCACCCTCTCTGTCACCCCCTAAAGTGGCCAACGCCCTGCACACCGGCTCCCCAGTTCATTGGTGTGAGAACTGGTGTCTCCATCTCGGCTGGCCTTTGTCCCTTTGACAACCAGTTTCTTTTGCCCACCCACGAAGGCCCCAAATCAGACAAGAATCCACTTCAGCCCCTCAGGGGGCTAGGGTGAGGGGCTATGGTCCTCATGAGGGGTAGGCTAGGGTCTCTGATGGGGCAAAAGTCCGGGGGGGGGGTGTCCCCAGCTGCCTCATGATGCTGAGAGGAGCATTCAAGACACAAGTTGGGTCTTGTCACTCCAACATCCACCTGCATCACCTGCTGGTGGCGGCACCGTGGGTGACGTGTGTGTTGGTCTTCGAACCGGAAAGTCAGTGGTTCCAACACACCGGTCGCTCCAAGCCAACAACTCACCCCCCTGATGCCCAGGCACGGAGACCCTGGAAGACAGACAGGGTAAAACTGCCCTCGTGAGCTTCCAGGGTTGTAACTCTTACGGCAGTAGAAAGCCCCGTCTCTCCACAGAGCGGACGGGTCAGTGAACAGATGAATGCTTAATTACTGCACTCACCACCAAGGCTCCTCGGCCAAGTCCATGGCTGTCCGGTCGATTCTGACTCACAGAGACCCTGCAGGACAGGGAAGAACTGCCCCTTGGTAGCCTTTGCTCTTGTCCACTCCCTGGAAGGCCCTCACCCTGTCTCCAGGGTGACCCGAGCACCCAGGCCCAGTCCAGAACCCGCAGCCCACATGCCTGCCAGCAGAGACCTCTGGGCCACAGGGTCTCTCAAGCTACCACAGACAGGGAGACCCAATGGGCTGGGCCATGGGCAGGCAGGGGAGAGCCTGACCTGAGACCACTGGCCCTGCCGGCCAGCCAGCATGAGCCCACAGACCTAGCCCCACTGTGTCTCTGCACGTGGCCTTCCCATCAGCAACTGCAGGAGTGGCACGCAGGGAGGTGGCCGGCCCTTTACTCTGTGGTGCCGTTGGGTGGGTTTGAGTCGCCAACCCTGGAGGTACAAATCGAGTGCAGACCCTTCGTGCCACTCACAGGCCTCGTGTCCTGCCCAAGAGCAAAGGCTGCCCCCTCTGCCCCCAGCCCACCAGCCCTCTGCTTGGCTGCCACCCTCCCTCCCCTCTACCCAGGAACCCTTTCCCTCCTGAGCCCCCCCCCCCCCCCCACCCCACACACACACACACACAGTAACTGGTCTGGGACCCTCACAAGAGCCAGCAGCCCAGAGGGGCCCAAAGCCTAGGGGGAGGGAGCCTCTCCTGTGGCTGCTTGCAGCTCAGCCACTCTTCCCCAAAGAGGGTCTTCCCCAAAGACCCCACACAGGGGATCCCCCCCTCCACGCGTGCTTCTCATGCTGCTGAGGGTCACCACGTGGTAACTGGGGACCTTCTCTCCTCCCTCAGGGCAAAGCTGAGCTACATGTAGATTAAAAAAAATCATTTTATTGGGGGCTCGTACAACTATTATCACAATCCATACATACATATATCTTATGTCAAGCACATTTGTACATTTGTTGCCCTCATCATTCCCAAAACATTTGTTTTCTACTTGAACCCTTGGTATCAGCTACTCACTTTTCCCCTCCCTCCCTGCTCCCCCCTCCCTCATGAACCCTTGATGATTTATATATTATTTTTATCTTGTCATATCTTACACTATCCGACATCTCCCTTCACTAAGGTGACCAGATTTTAACATTAGTAAAGCGGGACAAAAGCAGGACACCATTGATAAAACTCATAGCCTGGCGAAATAGTCACGTGGCAGCCGAAAACCGTATACCCTAGCTTATCGTGCATTCTTTCCAAAAATTGGGACTTTTTAAAAACGCTGCGGAACGCAGGAAAAATTCTTCAAAATTGGGACTGTCCTGCCAAAAACGGGACGTCTGGTCACCTTACCCTTCACCCTCTTTTATGTTGTCTGTCCCCCAGGGAGGAGGTTATATGTAGATCCTTGTAATCGGTTCCCCTTTTCCACCCCACTCTCCCTCTACCCATCTGGTATCGCCACTCTCACCACTGGTCCTGAAGGGATCATCTGTCCTGGATTCCCTGTGTTTCCGGTTCCTATCTGTACCAGTGTACATCCTCTGGTCTAGCCAGATTTGTAAGGTAGAATTGGGATCATGATAGTGGGGGGAGATGAAGCATTTAAGAACGAGAGGAAAGTTGTATGTTTCATCATTGCTATACTGCACCCTGACTGGCTCATCTCCTTCCCATGACCCTTCTGTAAGGGGATGTCCAGTTGCCCACAGATGGGCTTTGGGACCCCAATCTGCACTCCCCCTCATTCACAATGATTTGATTTTTTGTTCTTTGATGCCTGATACCTGATCCTTTCAACACCTCATGGTCACACAGGCTGGTGTGCTTCTTCCATGTGGGCTTTGTTGCTTCTGAGTTAAATGGCTGCTTGTTTACCTTCAAGCCTTTAAGACCCCAGACGCTGTATCTTTTGATAGCCGGGCACCATCAGCTTTCTTCACCACATTAGCTTATGCACCCATTTGTCTTCAGCGATCTTGTCAGGAAGGTGAGCACCATGGAATGCCAGCTTAATAGAACAAAGTGTTCTTGCATTGAGGGAGGACTTAAGTGGAGGCCCAATGTCCATCTGCTACCTTAATACT